CGAGTGTTCGCGACTGCGCGCGAGCGTGCGCGGGTAAGAGCGAGTCTGCGCGAGCGTGCGGGAGTGTGCGCGAGTGTGCGCGAGTGCGCGCGCGGGCGTGCGAGTGCGCGAGTGTGCGCGCGCGTGTGCGCGTGCGTGTGCGCGCGCGTGCGCGTGCGCGTGTGCGCGTGCGCGTGTGTGTGTGCGTGCGCGTGTGCGTGTGTGTATGTGTGCGTGTGTGTGCGCGAGTGTGCGCGAGTGTGCGCGAGTGTGCGCGAGTGTGCGCGAGCGTGCGCGCGTGTGCGTGGGCGTGCGCGGGCGTGCGCGGGCGTGCGCGGGTGTGCGCGAGTGTGCGCGAGTGTGCGCGAGTGTGCGCGGGTGTGCGCAAGTGCGCGCGAAGGTTCGCGAGTGCGCGCGGGCGTACGTGGGCGTGCGCGAGTGTGAGCGAGTCTGCGCGAGTGTGCGCGAGTGTGCACGGGTGTGCGCGAGTGTGCGCGCGCGTGTGCGAGTGCGCGAGTGCGCGCGCGTGTGCGCGTGACTGTACGCGCGTGTGCGTGTGCGCGTGTGTGTGTGTGTGTGCGCGCGCATGCGTGCGTGTGTGTGTGTGTGCGCGCGCGTGCGCGCGTGCGTGCGTGAGTGCGTGTGTGTGTGTGTGAGTGCGCGTGCGTGTGTCTGCGCGTGCGCGTGTGTGTATGCGCGTGCGTGTGTGTGTGTCTGGATGTGTGTGTGGATGTGTGTGTGTGTGGATGTGAGTGTGTGGATGTGTGTGGATGTGTGTGTTGTGCGTGTGTGGGTGTGTGTGTGGGTGTGTGTGTGGGTGTGTGTGGGTGTGTGTGGGTGTGTGTGGGTGCGTGCGTGTGTGGGTGTGTGTGGGTGTGTGGGTGTGGGTTTGGGTGCGTGGGTGCGTGGGTGTGCGGGTGTGCGGGTGTGCGCGTGTGCGCGTGTGCGTGCTCGTGTGCGTGTGCGCGTGCGTGTGCGTGTGCGTGTGCGTGTGCGTGTGCGCGTGCGTGTGCGTGCGCGTGTGCGTGTGCGTGTGCGTGTGCGTGTGCGTGTGCGTGTGCGTGTGCGTGTGCGTGTGCGTGCGCGTGTGCGTGTGCGTGGGTGTGGGTGTGGGTGTGGGTGTGGGTGTGTGTGGATGTGGATGTGGATGTGGATGTGGATGTGGATGTGGATGTGGATGTGGATGTGTGTGTGTTCCGGCTCTTGTCCAAGGCGATCCTTTTCCTGTGCAAACTCCTCGGCAAAGCCTGCACCCCGGCCTGCCCTCCGGCCGCCTGAGGCCACGCCCGCCTGTGCTCTGTCTCCCCAATTGGAGCTTTGCGTGGCCCGCCTAGCTTTTAACCGGAAGAGGCTCGCTCTCGACCAACAGACCAAAAAAGTGTGTATGTGTGTGTGTGTGCGTGTGCGTGTGCGTGTGCGTGTGCGTGTGCGTGTGCGTGTGCGTGTGCGTGTGCGTGCGCGTGCGCGTGCGCGTGCGCGTGCGCGTGCGCGTGGCGTGCGCGTGCGCGTGTGCGTGTGCGTGCGTCGTGCGCGTGCGCGTGCGCGTGCGCGTGCGCGTGCGCGTGCGCGTGCGCGTGCGCGTGCGCGTGCGCGTGCGCGTGCGCGTGCGCGTGCGTGCGCGTGCGCGTGCGCGTGCGCGTGCGCGTGCGCGTGCGCGTGCGCGTGCGCGTGCGCGTGCGCGTGCGCGTGCGCGTGCGCGTGCGCGTGCGCGTGCGCGTGCGTGCGTGCGCGCGCGTGCGCGTGCGCGTGCGCGTGCGCGTGCGCGTGCGTGCGTGTGCGCGTGCGTGTGCGTGTGCGTGTGGCGTGTGCGTGCGTGTGGCGTGTGTGCGTGTGCGTGTGCGTGTGCGTGTGCGCGTGCGTGTGCGTGTGCGTGTGCGTGTGCGTGTGCGTGTGCGTGTGCGTGGGCGTGTGTGCGTGTGCGTGCGTGCGTTGCCTGCGTGCGTGTGGTGTGTGTGTGTGTGTGTGTGTCTGTGTCTGTGTCTGTGTCTGTGTCTGTGTCTGTGTCTGTGTCTGTGTCTGTGTCTGTGTCTGTGTCTGTGTCTGTGTCTGTGCCTGTGCCTGTGCCTGTGTCTGTGTCTGTGTCTGTGTCTTTGTGTGCGTGCGTGCGTGCGCGCGTGCGTGCGTGCGTACGTGCGTGCGTGTGTGTGTGTGCGTGGGTGTGCGTGTGCGTGTGCGTGTCCGTGTGTTCGTGCATGTGCGTGAGCGTGAGCGTGAGCGTGGGCGTGTGCGTGTGCGTGTGCGTGTGCGTGTGCGTGGGCGTGTGCGTGCGCGTGCGCGTGTGCGTGTGCGTGTGCGTGTGCGTGTGCGTGTGCGTGTGCGCGTGTGCGTGTGTGCGCGGGTGTGCGTGTGTGCGTGTGCGTGTGTGTGTTTGTGCGTGTGTTTGTGCGTGTGCGTGGCGTGTGCGTGCGCGTGTCGTGTGCGTGTGCGTGTGCGTGGGCGTGGCGTGTGCGTGGCGTGAGCGTGGAGTGGGCGTGGGCGTGTACGTGTGCGTGTGGCGTGTGCATGTGCGTGTGCAAGCGGTGTGTGCGTGCGCGGTGCGCGTGTGCGTGCATGTGTGCGTGTGTGCGCGTGTGCGCGTGTGCTGTGTGCGTGTGTGCGTGTGTGCGTGTGTGGTGTGTGCGTGTGTGCGTGTGTGCGTGTGCGTGTGCGTGTGCGTGTGCGCCTGTGCGTGTGCGTGTGCGCGTGTGCGTGCGTGTGCGCGTGTGCGTGTGCGGTGCGTGCGTCGTGGGCGTGGGCGTGGGCGTGAACGTGTGTGTGTGTGCGTGTGCGAGTGCGTGTTGCGTGTGCGTGTGCGTGTGCGTGTGCGTGCGCGTGTGCGTGTGCGTGTGCGTGTGCGTGTGCGTGTGTGGGTGTGTGGGTGTGTGGGTGTGTGAATGCGTAAATATGTGAATATATACGTGTGTGCGTGTGTGCGTGTGTGCATGTGTGCGAATGTGCGTTCGTGTGTGCGTGTGTGCGTGTGTGCGTGTGCTGCGTCTGCGTCTGCGTGTGCGTGTGCGTGTGCTTGTGCGTGTGTGCGTGTGCGTGTGGGCGTGGGCGTGGGCGTGGGCGTGGGCGTGTGCGTGTGCGTGTGCGTGTGCGTGTGCGTGTGCGTGTGCGTGTGCGTGTGCGTGTGCATGTCCGTATGCGTGTGCGTGCGTGTGCGTGTGCGTGTGCGTGTGCGTGTGCGTGTGCGTGTGTGTGTGTTTGTGTGTTTGTGTGCCGAAATGCGTGCGGTGCCGCCCTGCGGACGCTGCCACTGGGGTTTTCGGCGGAGCGCCCATACGGGGCCACGAAACGTGCGAGGGATGTGCCGAAATGGGTACGGTGCCGCCACGCGGACGCTGCCACTCGGACATTCGACGGAGCTGCCCTGGGCGTTCCTCTTGGGCCGCTGGGACCAAGAACCAAGAAACAAACAGCACCCGCCGCGAGACCCGCACAAAAAAGATGGGGTCGTCAGCCTTTTGGGGACTTCCGAGAGCGGAGACTGTCCAATGAAATGGTTCTCGTAGTGCCTGCAGCGCAGTTCCCTGAATGTGTGAATGTAGGGATCTCCCCCGTGACAAACTGTTTATCGTGAGCGGTGTTTTGGCGGCCCCAAGGGCTGGCAAGGGCTCCCGCAAACCGAAAGTCATCGAATACCTCCCGTTGTGCGCATGTCCCTCTGACAGCATCTCGCCAGAGGGCCCTGATAAACGCGAGCAACAACGCAGAAGAGACCCACACAGGGGAACCGGGAGCCCGAGGCGTTTGGTCTGGCAATCGTGTCCCCTGCGACTTCCCCACACGTTATGCGGGGATCGCGCTCTCGCCTCAATGCCAGCTGCATGCTTGCTCTGGACGGCCAGGTCCCCTGGCAAACAATACGGCATCCTGGCGAGCGCATCGCGAGGCCAGTGAGACGAAGCAGGGCCAAACTGGGTGCGGTGCCGCCATGCGGACGCTGCCACTGAAGCCTTCGGCGGAGCTCCCTAGGGGCCAAAAAACGTGCGAGGGGTGTGTGCCAAACTCGGTGCGGTGCCGCCATGCGGACGCTGCAACTGGGGCCTTCGGGGGAGCTCCCAAGGGGCCAAAGAAACGTGTAAGGGGTGTGCCGAAATCGGCGCGATGCCGCCATGCATAAGCTGCCACTGGGCCCTTACCTGTGGGCCCACGAAACGAATGAGAGGTGTGCCGAAATGCGTGCGGTGCCGCCATGCGGACGCTGCCACTGGGGCCTTCGGCACAGGTACCTAACGGGCCACGCAACATGCGCGAGGTGTGCCGAAATGGGTGCGGTGCAGCCATGCTGGCGCCTTCGGCGTAGCTGCCAAAATAGATACGATGGGCCGAAATGGGTGCGGTGCCCCCATGCGGACGCTGCCACTGGATCCTTCGGCCGAGCTCCCGATGGGGCCACGAGACGTGCGAAAGGTGTGGTGAAATGGATGCGGCGGCGCCATGCGGACGCTGCCACTAGGCCCTTCTACCCATGGGCCCACGAAACGCATGAGAGGTGTGCCGAAATGCGTGCCGTGCCGCCATGCGGACGCTGCCAGTGGGGCATCTGGTGGAGCTACCTATTGGCCCCCGAAGCGTGAGGGGTGTGCCGAAATGAGTGCGCGGTGCCGGATGCGGCCACTGGGGCGTTCGGTGGAGCTCCACACGGGGCCACAAAAAGTGTGAGGGATGTGCCGACATGTTTGACATGCGGAAGTTAGAGGCAGGATGGAAGAAAGAGGGGGGAGGAGGAGGAGGAGGAGGAGGAGGAGGAGGAGGAGGAGGAGGCGGACGAGGAGGAGGACGAGGACGAGGAGGAGAGGGAGGAGGAGGAGGAGGAGGAGGAGAAGGACGGCCGCGGGGCGCTGTCTCTTCAAAACGAGCACCCGACACCGCAAGACGGTTGCTCTCCGTGTTATTGACTCTTCGCGTTGCCAGAACCCCATTCCCGCGAACGATTCTTACACAAAGGGCAAACGCTACCGCACTTCGGGCTCTTCGTGCTATCAGAGCTCCATTCCCGCGCTCGCTTCTGGCGCAGAAGCGAACACCCCACCTCACTCCGTGCGCTTCCTAGGAATCCGTGGGAATACGTCGGGATGCGAGGCTCCACTAGCCGATGTCATACTCCTCGACCCGTCCCTCCACTTCACGGCCACTGAAACTCTTCGCTGAGGCAATCTTGAGTCGTTGTCTGACGGTCTCGAGGGCTGGCGAGCCACTGACGGTCTCCACGGTCTCACCGATTGAGGATCGCGCGGCGCGTTTTCAGCGTCTCAGCTTGGTGCGGCCGCTTCGGCGAGGGCCTCGCGTCAGGCTCGGCGCCTCGCCCCCGCAGCTCAGAGGGGCACCCTCGCCCCAGGGCGGACCACGCCTCGGGGCTCGCACCCGTCGGTCGGAAGAAGTGGGCAGAAACATGAAGTAGGATTAAGTCGGGCGTGTCCCCCCCTACGGGGGGATTTTGGACGAAAAATTAAAAGTACTCAAAACATACTCAAACAATGTCCAAAAATAATCAAAACATAATGCCCAGACTATTTTTGCTATCTTTGAATACTCCTCCTGTAGAGGGACAGGCCAGACTTCAAAGTAGGACGGCGTTGGAAGCAGATTGGGGCTTCCGCCCGCCCCCTGCAGAGCAGGGAAGAAGGGGAACACGCTCGGTCGTGGAAGCAGGAAGGCGCTCAAAAAAAAACACGGGGATCCCGGAATGCAGGCAGACCTCCTGTCAACGACCCGCGTGCCGTTGGCGCCTCCCCGTCCTTTCCCCTGTCCTCTGCCTCCCCTGGTGCCCCTGCTCCTGCTGCTGCTGCTGCTGCTGCTGATGCTGCTGCTGCCTGCTGCTGCTGCTGCTGCTGCTAGTCCTTCGTCCTCGTCCTTTGTCCTCGTCCTCCTCCCTCCTCGTCCTCCCCCTCCGCCTGCTCCTTCTCCTCCTGCTCATTCACCACCTCCCTCTCCAGCGTTCGCAGTCACCCACGTCCGATTGCTCATGAAACGCTGGGGTCCTTTTTTGGCAGTCCAGGTCCGCCATGACACGCGTCGGCGGATAAAAGAACACGATCAGAGCAATGGGAAGGGATGGGTGGGATGGGCAGGATATCAGGTATGGCGCGATCGCACCTAGCTTGTCCTCTCTCCCTCTTCCTCCCCTCCTCCCCCCTTTCAAATGGGGTAGAGGGAGGAATGGAGAGGAGAAGCGCGAGCAGTACGAGGAAGGTCTGGAGAGGAGGGGGAAGGGGGGAGGGAGGAAGGGCAGGAGGCGCAGGAATGGGGAGGCGAGGAGGAGTGCGGAGGGGCAGGAGACGCGATATGGATGGTGGAAGAGAGTCGGAGAGGACGAGGAAGACGGGAACGTATAGAGGAGGAGCTGGGGGAAGCGGGAGAGGAGGAAGAGAAGGATAGAGGACAGCGAGGATGCAGGAGTGACGAGGAGAAAGCGAAGGAGAGGGAGGAGGAGCAGGACGCAGAGCAGTCGGATAAATACTCGCGCGGCGCACCAGGTCGGGTGCTTCGCCACGCCCTCGTGCTTGAGCCACGCGATGGCTCGGTAGCACCTCGCGCGGGGGCCCGTCGGCGGTGGCCGACGCGGCGCTCGCACTTAAAGGGAAATTGGGACACACAAATAAATACACACAAATAAAAATAGTCCCCATATTTTCCCACAGTTTCTGGGCTTTTGTCGTCCCCCCCCATTCCCATATTTTCCCATATTTTCCTGGGAATCGAGGATTAATTGTGTCTGTGTGTTTTTTTCCCTCCTGAGCACTGCCAGCCGGGCGCGCAGCTACGCCCAGGACCTCCCGAGCCCGGGAGAACACACGCGGAGGCGCGCCGGACGTTTGGCAGCGCCCCCGTGCTTCAGCCACGCCGGTGGCGAGGGAGCACCCGAGGGCCCGCCGAAGAGGTGGCCCCGAAGCAGGAGCGCGGCGCCCGTCGGGCGCAGGGCGGCGTCCACCTATCCGACGCCCTCGGGAGACGCGGCAGCATAAAAAAACGGCACGCTGGAAGCTGCTGACCCGGGTCAATCCAGACCCGGGTCAGTCATGCCTTGCAGAGTCCTGCAAGATCCTGCAAAATCCTGCACCCAAACCCGGGTCCATGCGAAGGATCCTGCAGGATCCTGCACCCAAACCCGGGTCAATGCGACCCTGGCCCTGCAGGATCCTGCAAGGTCGGGGCGCTCTGGCTGACCCCCGTTTGCACTGACCCCCGTCTCGAGGCTCCCGACAGGAGCCGCTTCCAGGAGCCCCGGGGCCGCCAACCACGAGGGGAGAACGACCGGGGAGGCCGGCTCGGGGGCGGAAGCTGACGTCGGCAAAGCATCGCCGAGGGACTGGCGGTATAGGGCCCCGACAGCGCTGAGCCGCACCCTCCTGAGGGCGGAGGTGGGCGGTCGGGCCCCCATATCGCCCGTCGGCGATCCGTGGGCAGTTGGAGGTGCGTGCATGGACCCCCGGGGGACGAGGAGGAGAACGAGGAGGAGGGGGACGAGGAGGAGGAGGCGGAAGAGGAGGAGGAGGAGGAGGAGGAGGCGGAAGAGGAGGAGGAGGAGGAGGAGGAGGAGGAGGCGGAAGAGGAGGAGGAGGAGGAGGAGGAGGAGAAGGACCAGTCCGCTGCCCCTGACAGGAGCCACCTTCGGGGTCATGACTCGGGCCTCCGCGGCGGCCGTTCGGCACAGTCCTGGCAACCCCGGGAACGCTCTCGGCGAGGCGCAGCCGGTGGAAAAACCAGCCCGAGGCCGGAAAAAAAAAACGCTGAGAGCCGACGAGCGCGCCCGAAAATCTCGAGCCTCGAGGCCACGGACGTGCCCCTGACCTCGCCTGCCTCCCCCCAGCGCTGCCCCTGACAAGAGCCGTGAACAGCGACGACTCGGGCTGCGAAGCCAGCCCTGGGGAAGCGTTCGGGAGCGTCGGGGGCCCGCGGATCCGAGCCTGCCGAATCTGCCCGCCTCTCCCCCCCTCTCATCTCGCGAAGGCCCCGACGAGACCCCCGAGCCTCCTGCTGCATCTTTTCGGGGCCCTGCCTGTCCCGCCGCGCCCCGGCCCGCGCCGAGCCCATGCCGAATCCCGGTCGGACTCGCCGGACCCGTGTCGAGTCCGTGTCGAAGCCGCGCCGACTCCACGCCAGATCCGCGCCGAGTCCGCACCGGGACCGCAGGAGGAGGAGGAGGAGGAGGAGGAGGAGGAGGAGGAGGAGGAGGAGGAGGAGGAGACCAGCGTAAGAGTGGAGGAGGAGGAGGAGGAGGAGGAGGAGGAGGAGCGTCGAGTCCGCACCGGGGGCGAGGCCCCCCTCGGAGGAGGCGGCGCAGCGAGCCCGTCTCTCGGACGTCCGCGGGGGCACGCTGGGCGCAGAGGGCGCGTGCCCGCGGGAGCGGTGCGCACGGGGGGGCACGTGGAGCAGAGGCAAGAGTTGAGTCGGGCCTGTCCCCCTACAGGGGGGCTTTCGATGAAATATAAAACACACCCCAGAAGATTCCATAAGCAGCCCACGCATAAAAAACAGTCTGGGTTCTATGTTTGGAGTATGTGTTGGCCTTCTTGGGGCATGTCTGGGGCATGTGTTATTTTTCGTCGAAAGTCCTCCTGTAGGGGGACACGCCCGACATAAGGCAAGAGGAGGGGGGCGGACGACAGCTTCTGCCGGACCGCGTCGCGGCGGCGGCGGCCCCAGCGACACGCTGTGCCCTGCCTGCGGCTGGCGTGGCGCTCCGCTGCGCCGGGGCGGGAGGCCGGGAAAGGCTTGGGGCGCTGACGCCTAGGATTAGGTCGGGCATGTCCCCCCACAGTTAAGTCGGGCGTGTCCCCCTACAGGCGGATTCTGGACGAACAATCAAAAAGAAAAAAAAAAAAAAAAAAAAAAAAAAAAAAAAAAAAAAAAAAAAAAAAAAAAAAAACAAAAACATACTCAAAACTAGTCAAAACATAGTCCCCAGACTATGTTTTGACTATTTTTGAAAATCCTCCTGCAGAGGGACAGGCCCGATTTCACCCTGCAGGCTGGTTTTTTGACAAGAGAACGATACATGGCCAACAGAACAAAGATTCGAGCGATAACCAAACATAGTCGAAAACAAAACAAATATTCAAGCGATAACCAAAAATAATCGAAACATCGCCCCCAGACTATGCTTGACTGGCTATGTCTGACTACCCCCCCCCAGTAGAGGGACACACCCGACGCGTAAGGATCGCGTGTCGCTCCGCTGCGCGGGGCGGGAGGCCAGGCAAGGCCCAGAGGACGCCCACTCCTCAGAGTTGGCGCGCTGCTGGCGCGTCGCGCAGAAGCAGCAAGGGCTCCTCCTCCTCCCCCTCCCCCTCCTCCTCCTCCTCCTCCTCCTCCTCCTCCTCCTCCTCCTCCTCCTCCGCTCCTCCTCCTCCTCCTCCTCCTCCTCCTCCTCCTCCTCCCCTCCTCCTCCTCCTTTTCCTCCTCCTCCTCCTCCTCCTCCTCCTCCTCCTCCTCCTCCTCCTCCTCCTCCTCCTCCTCCTTCGCGCTCTCGCGCTGCGCGAAGCGCGAAACGCGAGTAACTTCGCGCTCTCGCGCCGCTCCCCCCAGAGGGAGACAAGGAGGACGAGGAGGGGGAGAAGGAACGAGGACCGCGGAGCGCGAATAACTTCGCGCCCTCGTGGGAGCCCTTGAAGCATGGTGGGCCAGAACCGCCGGCGCGACACTCTCCAGGTATACGACTCCCTACCAGACCACCCCAACCCAACCCGAAGAACCGAGTTTGACCCGAATTTCGGGTTGGGGGGGGTACGGGTTCCATGCGTTTTTTAATGTTCCCCGACCCCCCCACCACTGGAAATGGAGGACAAATTGAAGCTTTTGGGTTAGGTTGAGGTGGTTTGGTGGGTGGTGAGTAAACGTTCCTGGCCGTGCATGATGGCGAAGAGACAAGGGCCCAGGGACACGCAAGTAAGCAGACCCACATCCCAGGATCCACATCCCAGGATCCCCAACGTTTGCAAATCTGCTCTGGAGTCCTACCTTCCCTCCACTTCCCACATGTTCCCGTGCTTTTGGTGGGGGGGATCGACGATTGCCTGTGTCTGGGTGCTCCTTCCCCTCCTGGAGGGAGGGGGGGAGGAGGGAGGGCGAAGGCGGGAGAGAATGGGAGGGGGAGGAGCGGCACCCGAAGAGGGAGCCGGAGCGTCGGCGGCGAGCCCAGGGGGGAAGTGAGGATGCAGGCCTCCTCCTCCTCCTCCTCCTCTTCCTCCCCCTTAGAAGGTTCCTCAGAGCGAGAAGGGGCGGGCCTCCTCAGAAGGCTCGGAAGTCCCCTGGGCCTCCTGAGGAGGTTTCTGAGCCTTCCCCGAAGACACAGAAGACCCCTCAGAAGGCCAGAGCGTTTCTGGGAAGCCCCGCCGCCTTCTGAGAGCAGAGGGCTCCTGGATGGGGTCGGAGCAGATGGGGTCGGAGGATCTCGCCGCATCGCCAATGCATCGGCGACGTCGGCGATGCATCGGCGACGTCGGCGTGGGGAAACACGGTCTCCACATTGAGCCGCGTCGTCGATGCATCGGCGATGCGGCGCGATCCTCCGACCCCATCTGCTCCGACCCCATCTGCTCCGACCCCATCTAGGAGGCCTAGAGAGAGGGGGCGGGCCTTCTGAGATGTTCTTTGAGCACTCCCCGAAGGCGCAGAGGACTCTTCAGAAGGCACCAGAGCGTCTGAGAAGCCCCGCCGCCTTCTGATGAGGCCTTCTCATTTGGAGTACCATGTGGGATCGGTTAGAACAGGAACAGGCCGTAGGCGGACCTACCCTTTCTCCGACCTTGCACCGCGCCGAACGCAACGGCCACGTTGTCCATAGACGCATCCATCCCGAAGGTGTCTATGGATGCACGGCACCCAGTGTGTCCATATACGCTGTTTGGCTTGGACGTAAGAACGGTATTTGGCATCGGCCAAAGATGTTGGTCCTATAGAAGCAGGTAGGCTTGGCCCTCCATGGAGAGACCAAAAGGTACCGATACAGCTACTCCCCAGACCTCTCCCGGGGTGCGTTCTGACCAGAATTTCGAGGCGAATCCAGCGGTGGCGACGAGGGCCTCCCAGGAGGCCCAGAGAGGGAAACACAGGCGAAGGGCAGAGGTACGGGTACCTGTTCCTCCTCTGACTCCAGCCTCTCCTCCTCGCTTCCCCCCCGACGCTCGCCGCCGAGAGCAGCACGAAGGGGTGCTGTCGGCGGAGGAGGCGGAGGCCGCGGCCGCAGGAGGAGAGCGGGAGAGGCAGGCCGCGGGCGCGGGACCCGAGGCGAGCCGCGGGGAGGCGACTCGGGAGGGACAAAAAACACACAGACACAATTAACCGTCGATTCCCTTAGAAACTATGGGAAAATCTGGGAAGTAGGGGGGAAGACAAAAACCCAGAAAATATGGGAAAATATGGGGGAATATTTTTATTTGTGTGTATTTTATGTGTGTGTCCCAGGGCCCCTTCAGCGACGGCAGGCCGCAGGGGGGTTGAGAATCAGCTCAGGCAGCTGATTTTCCCAGCGCCTCCCTCGGCGGCGACGACAGGGGCGAATATAGCCCAGGGGCGGGCATTACACGCATTCGCCCGGGAGCTTTCTCGAAGACATCGATCATCGGCGCACCTGAATGCATGTATTGCTCCCCCCTGGGCTATTCGCCCAGATCGTCGCCTCTGACTCCCGAGGCCGGGAGGCGCACATGTATCGAGGAATGGGCCCGGCGGCGGGGCGGAAACCAGCTGCATGCAGCAGATTTCGTGACCCCCCCTTTCCCCAGCCCCCCCTTTCGTCCGGCCCGATCCTCCTGCCTCCCCAGGACCTCCTCGGGCTGTGCAAAAGTCACGGCGGGAAGGTTTCCGCTACGGTCGGCCTCCGGGGGCCCTTCCCGGGCCTGTGGACCAGACCCCCTGCAAAAATCACGACGGGAGGCTTTTCGCTATACGTTCGGCCTCCAGAGGCCCTTCCCGGGCCTCGGGGCCATCAAAAGCCGACTCGGGACGAAAAACCGGTCCCCGGGAAGGGGTCCAAGCTTCTGAGGGGCACGCCACGGAAGAATCACGACGTCGGGGGTCCGGGGCCCTGGCAGCTGCCCCCCGTCCCTGTCCATAGCGACGCGAAGAGGCACAGTCGCACAGCACAAGCAGAGGGCATCTGTACACCACCACCGAGCCAAGCCCGGGCCATCCTGGCCCTGGCACCCTGGCATGGTGTGTGCGCCCTCCTGGCAGAGGCCAGAAGGGTTGGTTTACATACACCATCCCAGGGCCCAGGATGGCCCTGGCCTGGCACGGTGGTGGGGTACATGCGCCGTCGTCGGACTACGTGTCCTCCTTGGAGGCGCGCGCGCGCGCGCGCCCAACCCGAACATCGGTGCTATGACGTGTCCTCCCTGGAGGCGCGCGTCCGACCCGACCACCCCGTGTGCCCCTCTCGTAGCGTGTCGTTTTTCCCGAGCGGCGTGGCCCGAAAGCGCCCGCCACGGCACGCACACGAGAAGACTTCTCGGTGCGCGCGTCGCCCCTGGGGGGCGCCGCACACGTAGTACTAACATGTTTGGGTGGCGCCGATCCGTTTCCGCCTTCCGCCAAGGGAGAGGTAATTACCCACGTCTTCAGCCCAAGAAGGCCGGACCTTTCTGTGCGTGTGTGTCGATGTTCCCCCCGACCTGCAGCGAGAACAGTTACCATGCGCCAGTCGGAGACGGAGCGTCCCGGTGGTCACAAGAGCCGGCAAAGTCAGGTTATCCGATCATGTTTTGTAGTTAGTAGTCAACGCTGCGCAAACAACTGCCAGCCCAACTGTCGATTGCTTTGAGAAATCGCGCCCCGATCGGATAAAAGCTGGCGTCCAGGGAGGGGGGGGGGAATGAGGAATGAGAAGGTAGACGATTTGCATGGGGGAAGCGGCTTTGGTGTTCGAGCGGTGGGATTGTCAACAACCATATGATCATATAAGAGCACGGCCGCTAGCAGTGGAGGGGAGGTGGGAAAGGAGGACGGAGAGAAGGAGAAGGGAGAGCAAGGAGGAGAAGGAACATGACCCCCGCCCACCCTCGCACGCTGCCGACGAATCGGCCGATCGCACTCACTTGGGAGGACCCAGAATACCGATAACGCTACCCTTAGGTGGGGCATGTCCTCCTACAGGCGAAATTTGGAAGAACAACGAAACAGAGTCAAAACAAATTCCCAAATAATCAACAAAACAAGCATCGTCCCTGGACTATGTTGTTAAACTATGTTTGAACATTCCTCCTGTGGAGGGACATGCCCGCCTTAAGACCAGGATTCCGAGGAGAATCGAGCCGTGCCGAGGAGGAGGACGCCACACAGGCCACTGACAAAGAACAAGTGTAAAGGGCGTCGATGTATTGCTGCAAGCCGTTTCTTTTCTCAAGGCTGCCGACAAATTGACCGCTCTCCCTCTCACGGGGGCGGCCAAGAGGGGAGCTTCCAAGAGGGGAGATTCGCACATCATGCCCCGAGGCATGTGCGCGGCACAATTGGAGGAGGGGGCATGGGAGACACCATGGCCCCGGCCGTGATCTCCGCACAGCCCTAGCTGTCACCCCCCCCCCTTGGCCGCCGCCTCCCTCACTTGCCATCCTCACGTAGGGAACCGAAACGCAGCCACGGTGAGTGCGGGGTTCAGGTGAACTGCGCAAGTGCCAGCGGGGCCACCCGCCCGAGCGCTGACGGGACCCATCGGCAATGATACTGCCGTCTCAGGGCCGCAGTCAGTCAAGTCAGTGACCAGGCCTCCCAGGCGTCCACCGGAAGTAACGTAGGGTGACGTTTCGCCGGCCTTCCGAATGGACAAACAAACAGCAAAGGACAAACTCAGGAATGTTCGACGGGGGCAGCGCACATCCGGGGGTGCCGTCCGAACAGCACCGCGGGGAGGAGTCCCCGAGCTTCCCCCGTGTCCTGCCTGAGCAGCCAGCTTTTGCTGGGCAGCACTCGGGCACTGGGAGCGAGACGTCGCATCCAACTCCAAGAGATCGACTCGATGCCGCCGAGCTTCGCGCCCTCGAGGAGTCGAGGATGCCTTCGAGGCTTCACTCGCTGACTCACTCGAGGATTCCTTCGGGGGTGCCGACCGTCGCGCCCCCTCGCGCCTCGCGGCGCTATGCGCGGCACGCTTCGCGCCCCCTGCGCCGCTGCCCTGCCCCCGGGAGGGACGGGGCGTTTTGATTTCGCCAATACGCGGCCTCAGCAGTCCCGACCCCTTCCCCACGGAGGGGGAGGGGGAGGAGGAGGAGGAGGAGGAGGAGGAGGAGGAGGAGGAGGAGGAGGAGGACGAGGGCAGCCGCTCCGGGCCAGGCTGCGGCGCGCGAACATCGCCTCCACGCCACCGCGGGCGACCTGCAGGTCGAGCAGGGACCGACCGTCCCGGCATTCCGAGAGGCCTCCCACCGAATGTTCTTGGAGCCCCAAGATGGTCCAAGGACGCAAGCAGCGTTCTTAGAACATAGACGCGATGTGTTGAAACAAGGCAGTCCCAGCCAGAAACGCTCTAAGAACATGTCGTGGAAACCACAAAAGGTTCTTAGAACATCCTTTGGTAGGCCTATGGGCACGCCAGGACGCTTCGCCACTGCTTGAGTAGGGTTAGGTCGGGCATGTCCTCCTACAGGCGGATTCTGGAAGAACATATAAATAGCAAAAAATACCCCCCCGCCCCCCAAAACAAAGTCAAAATGAACAATAGTCAAAATCAGTCAAGTGGCCAAAATGAGAAATAGTCAAAATGATAGCTGGAGCCCCCTTGCCTCCAAGTGGACGTCCTCCAACTGGACCCAGCGCCGCCCAAGAGGAGGCCAAGTCCACTTGGAGGCCCACCAGATGGAGCCCCCTCGGCTCCAACTGGACCAGGAACCGCCCAATTTGAGGCCACGTCCACATAGATCGGGAAGACGTAAGACTCGGATACGGGGGACTCGGGTTGGCCTGACCACTTGGATCGGGGAGACGTAAGACTCGGGTACGGGGTTCTCGGGTTGGCCCGACGGGGGCCATCATAAAAACGACGAGACCCGATCTGAAATATTTGACGCGGGCTCCCGCTGCAGACACCTCACGGGAACGGGACGGCCAACATCCAGGACGCGCGCGTCCAAAAAAGTCAGCAAACCCGAGTTCCGGCTTACTCGAGTCTTACTCGGAAGCTGGGCCAGGGCTGCCAAAACCGTGGCTGCTAAAACGGCCCTCCCGGAAGGAAAAACAAGTTCCCGGAATGAGGCTCGGCACGCGAAACAGGACAACTCCCCGGAGGTCGAGTTTAGCAGTCACGGATCTAGCAGCCCTCGCCCGGCCTCCGACGTACGTTTCCCCGAGTGGAGACCCACCGGCTGGAGCCCCCCCCTCGGCTCCCACCGAGCGACGAGCACCAGCGGGCCCCACGCCGCGGCCGCGGCGCACGCCTCACGACCTCACATACGCTGCGGCGTGCGCGGGCAGCTGGCGCGGCATACAGGGCAGTTGTTGCTAATACATAGGATTTGCAAACAAAAAAAATAGGGTTTTGAATTCATGATTCGGAGCATATTCTTTGGGTGGAGGGCAAAGGGTGAAATCCGAAATGCCGTTTCGATGGATTTTCGAGGTTTGAATCTGCCAGCGGTGAAATACACAAGACGGATCGATTTGAGGTGCAGGAGTCCATGTGGATCTCACCCTGAGCCGCCCTCCACCCTGAGGAAATGCTCAGTGATTCATGCATGAAGAAATGTGTGCATGAACTCGTCGTTGTTTGTAATGCTAGATCCCTGCAGTTTTAATACATGATCCGCACGCGGAGCATTGATTAAAAACGGCACTCTATGCCACCCCGGGAATGCGAGGGCCACGGCGCGCGCCCCCCTCGCCGACGCGGGCCGCTGCACGCGCCGACGGCGGCGCAGCCGCCGACCCCGCACCGCTGGAGGCCCACCACCGCTGGAGGCCCCGACCTCCTCCTCCTCCTCCTCCTCCTCCTCCTCCTCCTCCTCCTCCCTCCTCCTCCTCCTCCTCCCCCTCCCCCCCTCCTCCTCCTCCTCCTCCTCCCTCCCTCCTCCTCCTCCTCCTCCTCCTCCTCCCCTCCTCCTCCCCCTCCCTCCTCCTCCTCCCCCTCCTCCTCCCCCTCCCCTCCTCCTCCTCCCCCTCCTCCTCCTCCTCCTCCTCCCCCTCCCTCCTCCTCCTCCTCCCCCTCCTCCCTCCTCCTCCTCCTCCTCCTCCTCCTCCTCCTCCTCCTCCTCCTCCTCCTCCGCATCCTCCTCCTCCCACACCGAGCGCCGAGCGCCGAAACAGAGCCTCCGCCTGCCCAGCCCCCGCGGCCGACCGCCCGCCCCGGGCACCACAGGCCCTCCTGCGTGTCCTGGCAGCTCGGGGCCGACTCCTTAGGGGCTGGCGGCGGCGGCCGCAGCGGCGGCGCGCCGGCCCCCGCCGCCGCGAGGAGCCGCGCCGACCGGGGTCGCAGATCCGGACCGCGGGTGGAGGCTCGAGGGTCGGGGCTCGAGAATCCAGGGTCGCGCGAGAGGGAGCGATCTGGGATAGACCGACTCCTTCGGGCGGAGGCGGCGGCCGCATCGGCGGTAACCGGCACCCGAGCGGCGAAGAGGAACGGCTCTTCCGTAGCGTACGTTGGTCGCCAGCGCGGCACGCTACATCTGGACACGAGGGCGCTTATGTGCGGCCTTGAGCAAGCAACCTGCTCGCCAATGGCCGCGCAGTCGACTCCGTCGTCTTCCGTCGCTCGCCTGTCCCCGCGAGGAGCTGCGCCAATCAGCGGTGCAGATCTGGACCGAGGATGGAGGCTCGAACGTCGGGGCTCGAGAATCAAGGGTCGAGCGAAGGGGGGCGAGATAGGGGGGACCAGAGCATGGGCAGCAGCTTCTGCGTCGCCGTCGCACGAAGGCGACGACGACGTCCACCACGACGACGACGACGACGACGACGAGCATGGGCTTAAGTCGGGCGTGTCCCCCTACAGGGGGATTTTCGATGAAAAATTAAAAATACCCCAAAAATACCCCAAAGATGCCCAAACATAGTCAAACAATAGTCCCCAGACTATTTTTTCACTATTTTTGAATTTCCACCCTGTAGAGGGACAGGCCCGACTTAATTCTATCCATATTCACTGCGCCTTGGACATTCTTGGAGGAGGCGCCACGAGGCCAGGGCGCACTGGATGTGGACAAACGTCGAGCCCCTCTAGGGGGCAAGTGTATCCACCCCCGGTGCGCCTCGGGTTCCTGGGGGAGGGAGGCCGAACCTCCACACTGCGGCGGATATGGACAGGAGTAGCGCCCGCATTGCCTGCATCAATACCGCCTCCTCCTCTGAGGCATGCGGGCGCCGCGAGCGGCGAACATGTCCGCATCCGCGCCCTCGGTGGTCTGGATCCCAGGGCGCGACCCCGAAAATACGCGGTCGTACGGATGCGTCCCGCGCAGAGCCTCCGCGGACAAACAGCGCGTATCCTTGTGGATGCCACGACAATGGACACCCTAACAGTCCGATCATTGAATCTAGAATGTGCTTCACACGTGTAAAACATGCTCCAAAAATGTTTCAACCATGTGTTTACGTACGAAAACAATGTTTGACACATCTTTTAGACATCTGGCAACTGCTTCGCAGCATGCTTCCTCTCCATTATAATCGACTTCCACACGCGTCTCCGCGGAGGTGCGGCTCCGGGGGCCCCACCTGCGAGAGGCCGCGGATGCGGATGTGTGTTCGCACACGGAGGGTACACGCCATGGGTCAAGGGGCCCCAGGACACACAAATAAATACACACAAATAACAGGATGCCCCATGTTTTCCCATATTTTCTGGTTTTTTGTCTTCCCGCACAAGTCCCATATTTTTCCCATATTTTCTTAGGAATCGACGATTAATTGTGTCTGTGTGTGTTTTGTTCCCTCCTAAATGGGGCCCGAGCAGGTGGGGCTGGAGGGTCGCGCCGAACGCATCGGGAGCGTGGGAGACGCAGCGGCGCCGCCGGCGTGAAGAAGATCGGCCTCCACGCCGAGCCGCATCGCCGATGCCGCGCGGGAGATGCATGGACGACGCGGCGGGGCCCTCCGGCCCCACGTGCTCGGACCCAGGCCGGGAGGCCCCTGTTCCAGGGGCCCCAGGACACACAAGTAAATACACACAAATAAAATGATTCCCCATATTTTCTCATATTTTCCGGGTTTGTGTCTTCCCCCCCCCACACTTCCCATATGTTCCCATATTTTCCTGGGAATCGACGATTAATTGTGTCTGTGCGTGTTTTCCCCTCCTGACCTGTGGCAGAGGGGCGCCTCCACATGCCCAGATCTTCCTTTGGCGTCGCGGCAGGATCGCGACGGACGGTTCTTTTGGGGTGGATATTGCAGCCGGGCGTACGCATGTTCAGGAACATCTGGGTGCAAGAAATCTGGGCCAGTGTCACAGAAGGGTTCTTGAAGCAAGCCTGTGCCAGCTTCTGCTGTTCACGCTGGAGGAGCGAACGTGCTCCAGGAGCTGGGCCAGCTTCCGGCAAGTTGGCCACGAAGCGCTGGCTCAGCTCTGCCGGGGGGAGGCTTCTTGATCCGATCCTCGACTGCACGTCCGACCTCTGTGGGGGTCTTTTCTTCACGCCAGCAGCGCCGATGCATCGCCGGCGTCCCCGATGCATCGCCGACGTCCCCGATGCTCCCCTGAAAGGTCGGGGAGCGGCACTGTGCCACACGCGTGGCGGTTAAAGCGCAAGGGCCTCGCTTGCGAGGGAGGAAGACGCGGAAAGCCAGCGAGAGCAAGACTCCTCCACCACGACATGCCACGTGCTTTGAACTGCAGGGCTTCCCGCCCCGCATGTGTGTGCGATGCATCGCCGATGCCTCGGCGATGCCTCGCCGATGCCTCGCCGACCGCCCTTCTGGGCGGCCCCCCGCGCTCGGCCCCTCCCCGGCCAGGCGCACGCGCGCGCACGCGCGCGCACGCGCGCGCACGCGCAGGCCCAGCAGGCGCGCGAACCCCCGCGGGCGCCAAAACGCGCGGCGAGGCAAAGGCCGCCGGGGCGCGGGCGTTGCCCCAGTGGCTGAGGGCCTCGGCGGCCGGCGGGGCGGCGGGGGAAGTCTCCTGCTCCTCCTCATCTTCCTCCTCCTCCTCCTCCTCCTCCTCCTCCTCCTCCTCCTCCTCCTCGTTCCCCCTCCCTCCTCCTCGCTGCTCCTGCTCCTTCCTCCCTTCTCTTCCTCCTCCTCTGTCTCTTCCTCCTTTTCCTCCTCCTCCTCCTCCTCCTCCTCCTCATCCTCATCATCATCATCATCATCATCATCATCATCATCATCATCATCATCATCATCATCATCATCATCATCATCATCATCATCATCATCATCATCATCACCATCATCATCATCATCATCATCATCATCATCATCATCATCATCATCATCATCATCATCATCATCATCATCATCGTCATCATCACCATCATCATCATCATCAAGATCATCAACATCATCATCATCATCACCATCATCATTTCATCATCATCATCATTTCATCATCAACATCATCATCATCATCATCATCATCATAATCCTGTTCCCCCTCCTCCTCCTGTTGCTGCTCCTCCTCCTCCCCGCTCCATTCCGCACGGTTTGGAACGTTTCCGTGTGCGTTGGAAATCATGCACCGGAAGAGAGGCAGGTGTGGGACAGCACACACATGGAGGAGTCATTCTGGAGGCGCCTCGAACTACCTTCAGTCGAAGGAGGAACAGTCGAAGGGGGACCTGTGGCTCAAGCCAGCTCCGTCTGCCTCCTTGATCAAGAACCCAACCAAACGACAGGCAGGGGCGTCCGCATGGCACGGTCGCTGGCCCTTGTTTGCACGGCCTCTGGCAGCCTCCGCGCCCCGCCTGTCGTGGTCAGCCATGACGGTATCTGGCAATCGTGGTAAGCACTCCAAGACGACGGCGCGACACCTTTATCCGTACGATGTTCCTACACGACAGTGAAAACACTGCAAACAAAGGGGACAATGCACCACATCAACGAGTTCACGTGTGCGGCGCCGGCCACCATGCACGTAGACAGCATGGATTGCCAGCTGCTGCCGCGAGGCACACGTGCAAAAACACTCCTGGCAAGCGAAGACATGATTGATCTCAGCCATGCGGCGGGCTTCCCCGCACGATTGCGGGCGGTTCGCCTCGCGATCTATCTTCGCAGATCCCAAATAGGCTCTGAACCGCTTGGGTTGCATGCGGATCTCAGCGATCCACCGACGATTGGCTGCGGCGCGCGCTCGGCAAACAGTCCCGCACGTGAGACCAGAAACGCCAAATCCTCCGACACTGCCTGCATCCACGATCTGCGCACACCAATGGCATGCGAACGGATGACGCACAAAGGACGCGGCGAGCGCAGACACACACGCGTGAACAAGCATAAGCGCACGTAGAGAATCATGATCGCGGGAACGATGAAACCCTCACGTTGCGCAGTGGCCTCGTGCGACGGCGCCCGGAGCACATCATCATCTTCCCGAAGCACGGAAGAATAGTCTTGCATCACAGCTGTGCGCGCTCACTTCAGCTCAGCTGCATAAGCGGTGGCCACGTTCTAAATTGGTACAAACCTCGCGTGGGAACAACACTCTGGCACAACGCAAGCCGGGTCTGAACAGGAACGCTCATGCGCTGAAGCACGCTGTGACGCAGTTGCATGAACACCCCCTGCATGGACCCAACGTTCACGGTTATTTCAAGGTCATCAAGTCAGTCGAACACGTAACAGTCCCGACGTGCTCACGTATATTGCGACGTGGCAAAAGGATGTTGCTGAGCACCTTCGGAATCAAAGCGCTTCATGCCGTTATCATCAGCAAGCAGGCATTATTTCGGCGTCCGCTGGCACAGCGCCAACAAACCGAAACAAAGTTTCTGTTTTCCCCCGTTGCAAGTTGATGACCGAATCGTGGCGGGACAAAACGTCCTCAAATATGCCGGCGAATTCTCTCATTCCTCCTCTTCCTCATCCTCCTCCACCTCCTCCTCCTCCCCCTCCTCCTCGTTCGCTATTCCTCCTCCTCCTCCTCCTCCACTTCCTCCTCCTCCTCCTTGTCCTATTCCTCCTCCTCCTCCTTTTCCTCCTCCTCGTTCCTCGCTCCTCGCTCTCCGCTCCTCGCTCATCGCTCCTCGCTCCTCGCTCCTCGCTCCTCCTCCTCCTCCTTTTCCTCCTCCTCCTCCTCCTCCTTCTCCTCCTCCTCTTCCTCCTCCTTTTCAAAATGTGGCTCTCGCCCTGGCGCCTCGCACATCCGTTTTCAAATGTTATAAGAGCTTCACGGATTGAGGTGGGGGGTCACGATGCGGTTTACGCCTTGGCGCCGCGCACATTCGTTTTCAAAAACTGTAAGAGCTTCACGGATTGAGGGCGGGTGGCTTTCAGCAAATGGCTCTCGCCTTAGCGCCGCGCGCGTTCTTCTGAACACATTGCAATAATTTCACGGATTGAGGGCGGGTGGATTTCAAAATGTGGCGCTCGCCTGAGGGCCGCGCATATTCGTTTCCAAAATCTGTGAGAGCTTTACGGATTGAGGGCGGGTGGTGTTCAACATGTGGCTCTCGCCTTAGCGCCGCGCGCATTCGTTTAGAAATACAAGCATTTCACGGACTCGCATGGTCGACGTACCGGAAAGTACGTGTTGGAAATATTCACGGCTATGAGGGCGCCACAGTTACGACGATCCGCGGTGTTGAAATTCCAGGAATGGCCTTCTGGTGCGACTCAGGATCAGCAAGACACAACAGTCAGGTTTATATGTGGCGGTGGACTACCGAGAACAATGTATTGGCATTCTTCAGGGTCTTCAAACGGTTGTCTTCCAACGAGGCAGGTCCCTCTGTGGAGATGAACCGCTATTGGGGCCTATGGAAATGAAGCTTGGGGGGAGGGCGTATTCCAACATCGTTGGTCCTCCTCCTCCTCGCTCCTCCTCGGCGGGGGATGCCCCTCGCTCCTCCTCGCACCTCGCTCCTCCTCCTCCACCTCCTCCTCACTCCTCCTCGCTCCTCCTCATTCCTCCTGCTCGCTCCTCCTCCTCCTATTCCTTCTCCTCCTCCTCTTCCTCCTCCTCCTCCTGCTCCTCCTCCTCCCCCTTTCCCCCTCCTTTTCATCCTCGTTCTCCTCCTTCTCCCTCCTCTCCTTCCTCCTCATCATCATCATCATCATCATTCACCACCACATCCACCACCACCACCACAATCATCCATATCAGGCAATCATCATTCATCATCATTATTCATCATCATCATCATAATCATCATCATCATCATAATCCATGCATCATCATCATCATCATCCGCTCCATATCCTCCAACTGCCTCCTCTCTACAAACCCTCCACTCCTCCTCCTCCTCCTCCTCCTCCTCCTCCTCACCTTCCTCCTCCTCCTCCGCCTCCTCATCCTCCTCCTCCGCCTCCGCCTCCTCCTCCTCATCATCCGCCTGCTCCTTCTCGTCCTTATCCTTCTCGTTCTCCTCCTCCTCCACTTCGCTCTCGCTCCTCGCCCCTCGCTCCACACTCCTTGCTCCGCATTCTCCTCCTCCTATTCCTCTTCGCTCCTCCTCCTCCTCCTCCGCATCATCATCGTCCGCCCCATTCTCCTCCAACTATCATCGTCCTCCTCCTCCTCCCC